AGTAGAAGTAGTAGTAGTAATAGTTGTACTAGCAGTAGCAGTAACACTCGTAATGGTGGTGGCACTGAAGTCGCGTTTGTAGTAATTAGCATTCCAGTAGCGTTTCCCGTAGTTGTAGGCGTCGTCGTCGTCGTCGTAGAAGTTAAGTGGGAGTAGCTGGGCCAGCAACATCTGCAGCAACAGTTCTGAAATGAAATCTGCGCACCTAACTCCGAATCCTTACGCCAACTTGCTGCGACAGACCTCCGGCGACATCGCGCCCGATCGGCACCTCGCCTTAGGGGCTCGTTGATACAGTCAAGGATTGAAGACTCACAGGGGTTCCAACGGGTTTAGAGTTTAGGGTTTCGGTTTAGGGTCTAGGGTTTAGGGTTTTAGGGTTTAGGGGTTTAGGGGTTTAGGGTTTAGGGTTTTAGGGTATTCTGGCATTTACAGATGCACTGCGAAAGCCAACCAAGCACGTTCTGCAGTAATCGCTGAAGCCGTGCAGCGATAGGTTTGGATCCCGGTCCTTTCGATTCGTCGCCGGTATTATAGGGGCTTTCATAATTTCCTATTTTGGGGGTTCCTTAATATAATTATTGTATAAGATACGCCCAAACCCTATTCCAATTATTAAGGCCCTGCAATACAGCCATAGCAGATTATTTCCCAGAACCCCGAATGACACAGGCGCCGTATAGTTTGGCTTGCATCGGCGTGTGGGAGGGTCTGCAAGGGTGTTTTCCTAACATCTCAAGCTGTGGTGGTTCACACCGTTTAACATGAGACAGTTTCAATTAGAAACAGTATGTCTCAATGACGCCTTTGATGTGAAACATAGGCGAGCCTATACTGCATGATCGTTCTTACTAGCTAATTCGGCTGCTTGTCCTCGTGCACCCGAAGATATCCAGCGTCAGCAACATCACCATTGTCATTTTACCGCCATGCATTGGTTGCCATTATCATGAAGAACAGTCCCCTAAACCCTAAACAGTAGCTATTGCAACCACGATTGCAATTAGATGTAATCCGAAACCCTGTGCTATAGGGGCCTAAATAATCACCTATCCGATTTGGGGGCTTCCTTATTATAAATATAGTTCTAACTATCAAGGCCTCTACATTAAGCCCTTCAGCCTTACGACCCTGAACATTTTAATCGACTCTTTGCAAACTGTGCCCTAAACCCAAACCCTAAACCCTAAACCCTAAACCCTAAACCCTAAACCCTAAACCCTAAACCCTAAACCCTAAACCCTAACCGCAGGCCCCGAACCTCGAAGACGTAAACCTCAGGACCTCAACCCGAGACACCGAACCCAGGCCTGAAACTTCAAGTTTTTTTTTTTATGTAAAAAAACCTCAAACTTGCTAAGGGTTTAGGGTTTAGGGCTTAGGGCTTGGGGTTCAGGGTTTAGGGTTTAGGGTTTAGGGTTTAGGGTTTAGGGCTTTGGGCTTTGGGTTTAGGGTTTAGGGTTTAGGGTTTGGGGGGGCTTGGAATCTCAAGCCCCAAACCCTGCACCCTACAGCTCATGCCCTAAGCGGGCGCTGCCCTCGTTTCATAATTCTGCCCTGTTCTGCCCTGCCCTGCCCCTGTCTGCCCTGCCCGCAGTCTGGCCAGCTTCACGCGCCCCTTTCCCCCCAGCCCCCTTGATCCCCCCCCTCTCCACCCAACCTCCCCCACCCTGATTTCTTGTTTCACCTGTATGGGAACCTCCCCTGACCCACCCCCGCCCGCGAGTGGGCTCGGGGAGGGTGGACGGTGTTGGTGCCTAAACCCTAAACCCTCAGACCTAAAGCCCTGAAGCCGGGCAACACGGTCATATAGACCCTATGGAACATAGAGTTCATCCCCAAGTCAGCTGCAAAAATAGTTCGTACCTACACAAAACAAACATCAGACTGGTACCATATCCCAGAAACCCTAAACCCAAACCCTAAACTACATCAACCTTTCAAAGAACCCCCAAAGGAGCCTTCCGATGAACCCTTAAAGGAACCCTTAGAGCTGCACCCTTAGATCCTTGAGCCCAGTTATCTCATCAACATAGAGGTCTGGAATGCTTAGCAATATCGGGGCGCTTTCGAATATAGGGGACCCCTAATATAGTACCCTGAATAGTAGGATCTTAGAAGGTCCCCCAAATAAAGTGCCCCAATTATCGCAAACTCCCAGATTATTCCCTAGGACTATAAGGAAGCCTACAAAACCCTTTTGGAACCCTTTAAAGGAACTCCGTTTTACTCCTCTCAGGCCGCGAATGCCATCTCATCAGGGCAGTACCATATGCCGCAATCCTTGGACGCTAGGCCCCAAGCCCTGAATCGACTAAAACCCGACACCCTATAAACCCTGAAATTCTAAACCCCTAGGACCCTTCAACCGAGTCCTCTCATCAGGCTGGTACCATGAGCCAGCCAGACCACTCCTTGCCCCTGCCGGGCTCGAGGCTCGCGAAATGAAGCCCGCTTAGGTTCTTATTTTCAAAACGTGTAGTATTTACATATGTATGTAACGTAATGTCATGTAATGTAATGTCATGTACCGTAATGTAACGTAATATAATGTAACGCAACGTAATGTACCGTAATGTTGTGAAATGAAATGAAATGAAATGAAATGAAATGAAATGAAATGAAATGAAATAGTGATCCTACTATAATTTAAGGTATATTCCTTAATTAAGGGATATTGGAGTCTCTGGGTGTTTGGGAGAACCATCGGATCCCTGGTGCTGTGAGCGAGTCCTCCCCTTGTTTTCTCTGTGGGTTGGGCGATGAAACCGCTACCTACCAAGCCCCGAAGCCTAAACCTGATCCTAAACCCTAAACCCTAAACCCTACACCCTCCCCCTAAACCCTAAACCCTAAACCCTAAACCTAAACCCCAAGCCCCAAAGCCTCGACCTCCAGCTGCATCTGCTCGGGTGGCGCCCGGCAAATCTCGGACAGGCGGCCGAGTGTGGCGACTCGCCTGTCTTGCCCAGAGAACCCAATACCCCTCAACCAAGGAATAGACCTTAAATTATAGGGGTCTTATTATTATTGTTATTATTATTATTTGTTATTATTATTATTTGTTATTATTATTATTACTATTATTGTTATTATTTGTTAAGGTATATTCCTGAATGATGTCCCGAGCGAGGTCGTTCGAACTCGAAGGTTTGAAAGTTTGAAAGTTTGGAGGT